AACTATCTTCTTACCAAATTTCATCTAAATCAGTTCAGTAGATCCAGAGATTACCGCCTACAACCTCAAAAACCTGACCTCCTTATAATATTAGTATAGATTATATAAATAAACCATCAAGTATAATTTATATAAATATGCAAAAGGCAAAACAGTTTAGTACATTTTACTCCTTTGTTGGTCAACCGATTTTTTTTTTCTTTTTGTTTAAAAGGTAGTGACGGACGAGCTTTAGCATTGATTAAAGCTCTACAATCAATAAAAAAATGATTATGGTCAAATTACGACCACTGGGCGATTAAATATGGGTACAATGTACTTACTAATAAGGAGGAAAACAGTGTAGCAAAAAAGTTTAAGTGGAAGTAATTAAAACTCTAATAAAAAGCTTTTTCATCTTTCCTATATAGTAACATTCTATTAACCATTTCTCTAGTTCCCGTCCGCGAAAGTTCTCGCTGTCCAATTAACTCTATACTTCAATTTATTTGGCGCCGGGTACCTTCAACCAGTTTTCCCTTAAGTGAAATTATATTTTCACCAGCGGTCTCCATAAACTCTATATAATATATTTTGTTTTATTACTTTATGTGTATTTATTGGTTAATTAAGTATAATAAAATTGTTAAACAAACGTTATTTATTCAATATTAATTTAAGGGTGAATACACATTATACAAGACATACGAGTACATCTGAAATTGTTACATTAAATTTCTTACAGGCCAAATTCAATGAATCTAAACTATATTTAAGATTAAACTTAAAGCGTCTAAGAAGACAAAATTGTAATGGGGTTAAAGTTGAACATTGGAGATTTTTTAGTAAAATTCTGAAATAGGATATTATATCGCAAAGCTCAATCAATACTTTTTGATTTTTTTGTCATCTTTTTAATATGCGTCACTTGAGATTATGTTTTTATTATTAGCTTAATTTGTGTCAAATAAGTGATGGCGTAATCAAATCTACTCCGAGTACTCCCTAATTTTAAATATGGGACCACTTTTAGGTTATAATATAATCATGAAATCAATTTACAATTGGTGAAAATACCGCGCAACATATACATATAAAAAAACATAATATATCCTAATTGTGTAACTCCTATTTTTGAAATCGGTTAAAACCCTTAATTAATATAAAGTCAACGCCACTAAATGTGAACAGACCTTTAGTCCACCCACTAAAATAATTAAAATATCGTGTTGATACATAAATTGTACATTTTACGAGCTGCTAATATCTTAATTGATCCACAGCGAAAGCTTCTGTTACAAAACAGTACAATTTTAATATCAAACAAAACAAGTTCTTACTACTTCGTGCCAATGCATTCCGTAGACATATTATGTACATCGGAAGTATTACGAAAGTCATTGAGGTTATGCAAATAGTGTGATTTGGTCTAGAACAAGAATTTATTACCTGGGTCAATTACTAAACTAGATTAACTTATAAATATTATCACGTGCATTTATTAGAAATTAATATTTATTATCTATTAATTAAACAAATTATGACTTTTTAAAAACGATGCGAAATTGCTAAAGCAGTTAATTTTTTTATCTAAATAAATTATTATTGACCATGGCGGACAAAACATATGATTCTTTTTTATTGAAATATAAATACATTAATAATAAGCAACTAGAAATAGCTTTTTATTCATCTATACATATAAAAAAATTGTAACTAAGCCGAATCTGTACATTATTATTTTTTTGGAAAATCTTATTGAAATAGGTATTATTATCGATACAGAGGCCGAATTAATAGTTTTTTTTGTACGTCTGTCTGTTTGTCTGTTAACGCATCACGGAAAAACCACTGGAGGGATTTTCATGTTTGGTGTGGTGATAGCTGGTTATCCGGGTCAACATATAGGATACTTTTTACCGCGGAAAAATGAGAAAAAATACAAAAATTGCAATGTAAGAGTCTGCTAATATGTAAAACCTAAGAACTTGGTTATTGGTCCTCTGAACGCGGGCGAAGCCGCGAGCAATGCTAGTCTATTTATATTTCTTTACATTTTAACAAGAACCACGAATCAATAGTTTCAAAATGTCAAGAACGTGAATTTCGTATTACCTCGATACTGATAAATCAATCACACAATATAGGCAATAAAACTATTCAACTAAGAGCTTTTGAAAGACCGCAAACGCTCCATTAATAACAGCTTTGACGTTCACGTTCACGCTGTCGCTGCATTTGCCAGAAATCAGGATATGTGTGTGTATGTTGATATCCAAAGAAACAATTTATATAATATACAAAAGCGAAAAATGATGAAGTTTCAGAAAATATATTTGAAATGAAGCTTGAAATTTGGCAGGGAGATTCCTCATAGGGAGTAAGTATCCGCTAAGAAAGGATTTTTTGGAAATTCAACCCCTAAAAGGGTTCAAACGAAAGATAAGATGGATGATATCCTGATTCTGATTAAAAATGTCAACTATTACAATTCAAACTTTCAACATTCTCGGGGGATTAAAAAATAGGGGATGATGGAAGGCTTAAAAGCGGAACAAATAATCACAAATAATGTGTGTGAGTGAAGCCGTGGGAAAATGCGTGTATAATACATGTAATAAATATGTGTACAAGCAAGCTATTAGAAATTTACACAAGTGTAACAAAAATTTAAGTATTGATATGTATATCGTTTTAATGACTGTATAATTCGAGATATTTATGGAAAAGAACTTTCTATCCAAAATTTACTAATTTTAGAAATTAAAATTATTTTAGAAAATGTAATACTTTACATGAATGCGAAAGTTTGTGAGTGAGTTGATGAACCAAACGTTCATGAAATAAATGAACGTGCTGTGTATGTTTTTATTGTATATCTGCATTATACCTGAATTGATTTGAATGTTTGAAATGAAGATAGCTTATAGCATAAAGTATTTACAGGCCACTTTTTTCACTTAAAGTAACTAAAACTAAATAGTGATATAAACCTACATGAATATTTAAAAAACCGCTTACAAAGTCTTTGTTTGTATCTAATGAAAATTACAATAAATTGATATGAAATATTAGAAAAAATAGTTATTACCATTTAAGTATGTTCAATTATAGTAAATGTAAAGAAAAGAATACATGACATCTAGTGAATGAATATCTGAATACTATATACTATTTCTCTTTATATATATAAAGATACATATATACATTTTACATATATCTCTTTCACTCTCTATCATTTAGCTCCTTATTAACGTCCCATTGCTGGCCACCGGCCTTCAATGCGAGGGAGACTAAAACATAGCCCAACACGCTGGCAAAGTGCAGGTTGTCGGACTTGACATTTCTTTCGAAAACTGGTTAGGTATTTAGGTGCACTACCTAAATAAATGAATACGAACGTATTTAAATAACAAATTAAATCACATTCTCATAATAATTTCAAGCATTTATCCTTTAATATACATCTATACTAATATTATAAAGAGGTAAAGTTAATGAAATTGTGAGTTTGTGACGTTGTTGGAGGTAATCTCTGGATCTACTGAATCGATTTAGATGAAATTTAGTAAGAAGATAGTTTAAGACCCTAGGAAGGACATAGGATATCTTTTTAAGATTTTTTTTGATTTAATAGAATTGCTTTTTATCCCGGAAATCATCCTTTAAGGGGGTGAAAATGGGGATGAAAGTTTGTATGGGGAACCAACCTAGGGAGGAACCCGAGCGAAGCGAGGGTGAGTCGCTAGTAATATATATAACTATTTATATGTTCAAGACTATGCAATTTAAAAGAACTACATAATTACAAATACTTATCACTTATTAACTTCAAATGAACTTCTCATTTCTCAGTAATATTTACAAAATACCATTAGTTTTATTAAAATTAATAAGGTACAAGTGCAAACAGTGAAAGTTAATTCAGTGAAGACGATCCTAAGTGTGAAAGTAGCTGTGTAATATCTTAATAATTCGTTCTAACGCCCTTTGTGTAACTGCGCTTTGAATTCATAGCTTAATTACGCTCAAGTTAACGACTTTCTCATGTACTACAAGATACCTACTCCATACGAATAGAATATGATTTCTAAACGCTATAACTTTCATTTAATTAGCATTACTTAGTAATAAAATTCAAGAAATACATTATATATTTAGTAAAAATCATTTATTACACACAAAAAACACTAGTGTTCATTTATTAAATCAAATAATAACTTTTACTTGTAGATTATAAAATACTAGCGACTAACTCTCGCTTAGCCACGGGTTCGTCCCTACACAAAAACAAATTTATCCCACGGGAATCGTACATTTTCCCGGGATGATATATAGCCTATAGCCTTGCTCAATAAACGGGTTATCTAATGCAAACAGAATTTTTCAAATCGGATTAGTACATAGTTCCTAAAATTAGCGCATTCAAACAGACATCAAACAAACAAACAAACAAAGAAACAAACAAACAAACAAACTCTGCCTCTTTATAATATTAGTATAGATTTGTACATAACATGATTTTACATGAATTTCAAACCAAAAAAAGGACTCAACTACGTAAATGTACCACTATCTGTTTAAAAACTAATTAGACATTGTTTACGTACCGATAGTACCTAATTACTAGCGTCACATTTAACACGTTTTTTTCCGCTCCGTTTATTCTAACAGTTTTTTTCCTTAAACGGTGCTATTTTTAAAATAAAATCATAAACACCTGCGTCCTACATATTTTTTACAAGTAGAAATGTAATATATTATTTAGAAGATGGAGAATTTTCGTATAAAATTTATTTAAATTTATAAGTTTCATAATGCTATACTGACGAATAAACAATTAGTTAATAGTTAAATTCTCAAGTTCACTAATTTTTAGCAACAATTCATTTCTTAAACTAGATGCTAGTTTAAATCATTCTGACGACCCATAACCACTATAACAAAATTACATTTATAATTATAATATATAGTTTTTGCAGCGTTTTTTAGGGAATAGGTTTTAAATAATATCTACTTACCACAAGCTCAGCGAACTTCGCGTCCAGTTCATCTTGCGGTGGCATGGGGTGCGTGGGGGTGACTGCCTGCAAGGCGAGACCGCCCTCGCCGCCCACCACACAGTATGTAATCTCGGGTGGCTCGTCATTCTGAAGCAAGAGTTAGCTTATATTATAACCATTGCAAACAAAAATTATATAGTTTAACTAATACATGGGTAATTTATGCAGTTCATCTTTAAAATTTTAAAGACTTATGTCCTAGTAATTGATAAATATAAATAAAATTAAATAATGTAAATACTAGCAGTACCCGCGGCTATGCCCGCGTTCAAACTTTCGATCGCTACCAAACTTGACAGAATCACCCGCTGGGCTAATCTGAAGGTTGCCTGAAAATTTCATCAAAATGGCTCCAGCCGTTTTGGAATACACACATCGTTTTTTATATATACATAATATTTAAAGGTTTTGATCCCTTTCAATGAATCGTCTTATTGTCATTATCTTTGGTAAATATAAGCCGTAAAAGCAAACTTATAAAGACGAAGGTTAGATTAATAATGTCTAGTGGATATAAATGCTAAGCAATACGAGTAATACAACTGATTCAACAAGTAGATAAATGAGTAACATATATAGTCTCTAAGGCAAAGCAGTAAATGAAATAATTTCTGAAAAATACACTTTGATTTGCAACTATAATAAAAATATTTCTCTCAATAAGTTACTTTACGAAATCGTACATATCATATGAAAAACAAGTTTTGGGTGGTAATAAAAATTAAATTAACAAAAGCACTCATTCGAAAACAAAAGAACGACATTTCTAAATTATCCTTCTTAATTAATAGCATTTCAGCATAACGTCACGGTGAAATTCCTGGTCCTAATTTTAGTTTTAACGTGTATTTCATACCGTTTCCATGGAAACGATGTCGTCATAAATACAAATATAAATCAAGATGAAAGACCCGGTAGAAAGCAAAAAACGCTTGGAAGAATAATTAAACGATAACTGCTGTACATTAAGGGAGTAACACTTAATCAGTTATTTGCAGTACCTACATCATAAATTTTCCCATTTGTCTGACCATCTGTTTCTTTATTGACCGTACCGATGACTATGCCTTGTAAGGACAACATTTAAACTTTTAGCATTTTTACTTCAATTTGCAATTGAAATTGTATTCTCAATTTCTTATACTTTTTAATTTTGGACCACAGACCACCTGCCACAATGACGTTATAAATTATGTAACCAAACTGGCCACTATTATATGTATATTGTACGAGTACATTTACGCGCTAATTTTAACAGACGTAGAAGTACAATCTATACATATAATAAAATTTTAACTGATCGTTGTCTGTACAAGGAAGATATTTGAGAAAAACCATTATTTGAGGTCTTTATTAACGCAATAGAAACCAAAACATTGCTAGTTAGAATTTTTGTCTGTTTGTCTGTGCGTTTGTGCGCGCTAATCTCAGGAACGGCTTAACCGATTTTGGTGCGGTTTTCACTAATGTATTGTGGTAAGCTTCACTTAACATTTAGTATTGTTATTTCAATAGGTTCATAAATAAAAAAAGTCAATTTAAAGAATCACCTAGGAGCAACTCCATGCGAAGCGGGTTTTTAATTAAGTTCTAGCCGAAGAAAATGATTAAAGATTATTGCGCCAAATTCATAGTGTTGTACCTATGCAATAAATAAGGCATTTACGTATTATTTTTTACTTTTGTATCATACCAGCTTATGTAAACAATGCAACATGCGGGCATGCACACAATCACACTCCTGAGTCATGCAGTTGAATCAGGGTGGCGCCTGACGCGTTTCTCCTACCGTCATGCGAGTGTCTCGCGAATTCATTGAACACTATAATAGGGTTGATGTAGATACCGAATATATGTTCCAGCCACCTAAAGAAAACATTTTATAATTTGATAAGATACGTTTGTTTAGATAGTAAAAACAAGTGCAATAAAATATGAAATAGATGAACTAGAACTAGATTATATATATATATATATATATATATATATATATATATATATATATATATATATATATATATATATATATATATATTTAATTATATATCACTATCTGACTGATATGTACATTTACTCTTAGGCTTATTCATTAACGGTCATAAGGGTTATTATAGAGCCCGTCGTTATGTTAAATATTATCTCTGATAGCCCCGAACAAGTGATAGATAAAATGTTATTAATTTTATTCATCACTAATTTACTCACCAGGCTTTATTAATTTCAGATACATTACGTATACCAGTATAATGGTATGAATTCAATCGTTTTACTCACTTTTTCTTTCCAATTTATATCATATTCTGTCATTAGCAAAAACAAATCTATCCTACGGGAACCGTACATTTTTCCAGGATAATATATAGCCTATAGCCTTCCTCAATAAACGGGCTATCTAATGCAACAAAAAAATTTTAAGTCGGATTAGTAGTTCCTGAGATAAGCGCGTTCGAACAAACAAACAAACAAACAAACAAACAAACAAACAAACAAACAAACAAACTCTGCCTCTTTTTAATATTAAGTATAGATTAAAATAGATAATAAACTATATGATGTTGTCCTATTATTCCCTCGTGGAACTTAGGGCTGCAGCAGTAGTTTTCCATGCCCTTCTATCCTTAGCTACTGCTTGGACATGGTTCCACGAGATTCCTACCCTTCTTAGGTCCGCCTCAATGGACCTCCTCCAGGTGTTAGTTGGTCGACCAGGTCTTCTTCTACCGGCAGGCTGCCATTGAAATGCTACTTGTGCAGTATTCCCTTCCTCTCTTCGCAAGATATGCCCGACCCAGCGCCATCGCCTTAGACCTATCTCCTTGCATACTGGGAGTTGATGGCATACTTCCCACAGATCTTTGTTTCTGATAGTGTTAGGCCAGTGGATACGGAGAATAACCCTAAAACACTTATTGAGGAAGACCTGAATCCTGTGGATTAGCGACTTGGTTGTCTTCCATGTTTCACACCCGTATAAAAGGACTGACTTTACCAGAGAGTCAAACAGAGAGATCTTTATCCGTCTCGTTAGGACATTTGACTGCCAAACTGCTCGCCACCAGAAGTGATTATGCTACCAAGGTAGCATAATTCATCTACTCTGTCAATCAGTTGGTTATCCAAATAAAGAGGTTCCAAAGCCTGAGAGTTAATCCTCATCTCTACCGTTTTCTTAGCATTTATTCGCAAACCAATAACAGATGCTTCCTGTTGCAGGTCTTTTAATTTGGACTTAATATGTTCAAGCTATGTTCGGCTTGAACATCGGCTTAAACTATATATGATACTTTAATTATTAAATAGTGTCTTAGATTTTGTTGTAACATATATATGTCAAAGTGACAATATTTATTAAAAGTATATAAAGGCAAAAACAAAAGAGCGGTAAATGTTTTATCATATTTGCATGTCAAGCCCAATAATAATATGTACACTCTTACTTACATATTAGCATAATTAATACATTAATATTTCTCTTGTAGATAAGATGCACTTACCGTCTATGGAAAAACACGCAAATGAATAAAGAAAGGCCGGAGATAAAAAAAAATATTTTTACTATGTCATAGCTAAAAATAACAATATTTAAAATATATATAGAGATTTTACGTTATTAAAAAATGTTGACATATATTAATTTTTTTAATATGTAAAATTAAGTTATTTACCGACAAAAAACTAAAAATTCGTCCAGAAGTTTTTAAACAAATTTACAACATTACTTGTCAATTTGTAGGCAAAATTCAATGTACAAGAATGGACAACTAAAAGTAACACAATTGATTTAAACAATTTAATCGAATCCCTCAGAATGTAAATATAATTACAGTTGCCGAGAACAATAACAGCTTAATATTAAAGCAAGAAACAATGGAATATTTTAATAAGATTTAATTATCAAACATTTATATTGTAGAAAGACTGTCACTGAACTGTGATGAGAGAAATAAGTAATTATACATATATATATAATCATTATATTTCAACTAAAAACGCGCGTTGACGGCACAATCACTTTAAAAATATTTACCCACTTCCTCTTAGAGGTGGATTGTTCTCTACAAAATATTAAGGTATATTAATAAGCATTCCTATACCTGCTTATAAAAAATATATATGAATATTGATTCCGAATTAATAAAGATGTTGCATAACATACCTACACAAAAACCTCAAGTCCGAATTGAGTGTCTCCTCCTTTTGGTTGGATGTCGGTTAAAAGTTTAGCTTACACGTAGCTTATCACGTGTACATTAAAGCTTATATCACCTCCAGGTAAATTTCTAAGAAATTAATTAAATTTCTAAGAAGTCTATTGTGAACTGTAACGCCGGCGTGTCCGCGGTCGTGGAGGGAATATTTTTATACCACAAAATAATCACCCACGGTAAAAGCATGACATAATACAAAGAAAGCTCATTTATTAATTTGTAGATGTACTCAGTCAAATAAGGTAATTTGTTTGTTACATATAAGTTATCTGTTATACATATTATAAAAAACATTTTTAAACGTTCTATTTGATATCTTTCGCGTATAGCAGTTCTGCGTAATACGCGTTCTAGACACAAAGACAAGTCTGTCTAAACATATCAAGGCTAACCACCCCTAACTGCACCTGTGAAATTTCTTCCATATATATATAAACTCAACCATTATTTTGTCTAAACAGAAAACGTAAATGCCAATATTGCATTCACAATACACAGAAACGTTTGAGAATATTAATCTTGCCAGCCCTGATCTTAAGATATAAGAGGACGATTCAGTATTTTCGTCGATGACTTCACCGAGGCTGTCCTCAGAGAATAAATTTATTTATGACTGTATTTTATTTTTGCAAGCATTAACATTAATTATGCACTCCATTATAGACACCTTAAAAAGAAAAAAATCCATGAACCGAATACGAAAGACGTGTGTCTGATTTTTATAATATACATACATACTATAAATATAAACACCCATGACTGGAGTACAAATATTCGTGCTCATCACAGACATGAATGCCCCAGCGGGACCCGAATCCGCGACCGCCGGCACAGCAAGTAGGGTAATAGCTCTTATTCGAAGAAAATTCGAAAAAAAAA